GGGGAATCAAAGTTCATGTTTCGTGTCTAGTGACCCTTCTTCAGAACTGATGGTAGCTAGGAAAACGTTTTTCGTGCACAATGTAGGATGGGGGGAGGGAGTAAGGAGTAAGCAATAAGTGGAGATGGAGTCCAAAGAGAGATGAACAGTTGGGTAGACAAAGCAGTGGATAATTATCAGCATAGCCATGAATAGCCATTAATGGAGACTATTAGTGGTTAACAATGGGTAGAGTGTAATAGTAGATGGTGTATGGTGATTGGGGTAAGGCAATGGGAGAAGGTGTCTTAAGCCCTAAAATTGTTGAACTCCATATCGAGTCCAGAGGCTGTAGAATTCCCAAGTAGAAAATAAGGTGCAGTTCTTTCAGCACTGCAGTAAGCCTGAGACAGAGATCTTGGCCGGGGAACAATGTGGTGTGTTGAAGTAGCAGACAACTGGAAGCTCAGGGTCCTTTTTGTGGACAGAACGTAGGTGTTTGCCATAGGGAGGAGTGCTTTGCCTGCAGCTATTTACGGTTTATATCAGTGACTTAGTTAAAAGAACTTAATGGCTGTCTTTTTAATCATCCTGTTCAGACATGTAATGAGACAGGTTTGGGGCAGCTGAGACTTGAATCTAGAGCTTCTGTCCCGACGTAAGGGTATTACCACTATGCGACAAGAGCCCTATGAATCCTAATTCTCTGACTGGGAACTGATTCTTGCATGAGACAATAAGTATACTGAATCCTAATCACTGGACTATCGGGGAAGATTTTTAAAGGTACAACACAGATGTGTTTGTTCGTTAAGCATGTTGGCAGTGGTGGAATTTGAACCTGCTCTTCCTTTGCCTTAGTGTAGCACCTAAGACCATGTTTCCATGCGACCACATAACGGTTCTGACCTGTTTTGAACCAAGAATGTTTGAAGCAAATGTGATAACTACTGCACTGCAGAATCACAGTTCTAGGGACCAAATGTATGGTTGCTAAGTTTGCTGAAGAAACAAAGGTAGGTTAGAAAGGAAATTGTGAAGAGAGTCTGAAAAGGGATATAGATTGGGTGAGTGGGCGAAAATTTGGAAATTGAGTATAATGTGGGCTAATGTGAACTCTTCCACTTTGGATGAATATAAACAAGAAGTGTTGTTTTATTTAAACGCAGAATTCTGAGGTACAGAGGGATCTGGGTGTCCTAATACATCAACCACAAAAGGTTGGTGTACAGTTACATTAAGTACCTAGGAAGGCAATTAGAATGTTGGTGTTTATTGCACAGGGAATGGAATATAAAAGTAGAATTGTTAACTCTTTCTCTCCATAGATGCTGGTCGACTTTGAGTTTTTCCAGTATTTTCTGTTTCTTTCAGATATCCAAGAGTTACAGAATTTTGCTTTTATAAAAGTCAAAAAGTTTTGCTGCAGTTGTTTAGGGTATTGGCAAAACTGCAAATGGACTATGTGTACAGTTTTAGCATCCTTATTTAAGAAAGGATATAAATACATTAGAGATAGTTCAGAGAAGCTTCAATCAACCAATAGCTGGAATAGGGAAGAAGGACTTAGCTCATGAGGAAAGATTGGAGAGACTGGACTTATAAACACTGGAATTGACCAGAATAAGAGGTGATCTGATTGAGACATATATGATCCTGATGAAACTTGACAGGATTGGTGCTGAAAAGCTGTTTCACCTTGTGGAGAGACTGGAAATGCAGGACATTGTTTAAAAATAAGGGGTAACCCCATTTTAAAACCAAGATGAGGAGGATTTTCTTTCCCTTAGAGTTGAATGTGTTGGAAACTTTCTTTCCCGGAAAGTGATGGAGGCATTAAATACTCGTAAAGTAAAGGTAGGTAGATACTTGATAAACAAAGGAGTCGAAATATGTCAAGGAATAGTAAGAAAGTGAACTTGAGGCCACAGTTCAATCAACCATGATCTCGTCCGAGCAAACTGCCGTGGCCAAATGGCCTACTACTCCTCCTAATTTGTATACCAATATGATCAGATTTCCTGTTTCAGTCTACCTAATCTTCGTAATCTACCTAATCATCCACACTTACCATTCTTTATCCTATCCACTTAATTAGTCCAAGTTCCTTTGGAGCTTGCTTATCAATTGGCTATGTCATCATCAAATCATCATTAACTAATTTTTATAAATATTACCTCTGAGGGATGTAAACTTAAAGCATGAAAGAAATGTATACTGTCTCTTGCCAACTTTGCAGTTTTCTCCTCAGTCACTTGTGATATCTTTTCTATATTTCAAATGATGAATAGATTTACTCTTAAAATTGCAATAATATTACTTATTTCTTGTGAGAATGTATTCATCATTTTTACAGCATCCTGTGTGAAGAAATTTCTACCCCATCTTGTCTTGTCTTACCTAGAGAACACTGCTTTTCCTTATTTCTCTCATCAAAATTCATATTTTTAAAAACTTCGATTGAATCTCATGATCGTATTCAGTACTTCCCTTATACTCGTGGTTTGCAATCCCTGGTAAAATCCCAACCTCTATGCTGTTAATGGCTTCAGTGCTTTTCCTTAGTGTGGATGCTAAAAATTGGACATTAATATTTCATTTTGCCTAACCAGCACTCTGCATGAATTTATCAATACTTCTTTACCCTTGTATTCTACAACCCTATTTATAAATCAAAATTCTATAGGTCATTTTGATAGCTTTATTGACTGGTCCTCTCCCCTGCAAGGAATCAGTTTTTTGATCTTTCTGCTCATCCACAGTAACATTTAACATGACTTTACTAGTTATTAAGACCTGTTATAGATATGTTGAGGGACAGGATACTTTGGCTATCAGGAAGGTTAAACTTGATAGGTGTCCTTAAGGGACATGTATTATCCCAATTGCTCCGGTTTCCCCTGGGGCCATGTGTTAGGAAGAGTGAGCAAACTAAATGTGCCACATCTGATGTGAGCCTGCTTCTGTTTGTAGGCTAAAGACATTTTAATGGCCTGGAAACTTCTAAATCACCCAAAGATAGAACCACCTTTACAGCAGTGCTATATTGATTGAGAGAGAAGAGTTGGCTGTAATATTGGAACATCTGCTGCAAATGCAGTCAGAAAGCAACCTCAGTGCAGTGGTCCCTACTTCTAGAGCATGGATGCAGTAAATTGGATGTATTGCATTTGGGACAACCAGAAGTGGGAACTAGTTGAAGAAAAATGAGATGACAGGACTATGAATGTCCCTTTCTACTTCATTTGAATGACTGGTTCCAACTGCCCTCCCCTACATTTTGAGAAAAGCTACTGTAGTCTCAAAGTGACATGAAATGTGTGGCGACCAGACCTAACAGGTTTGTGATTCTGTTTCATTTGCTAGGCACATGGGGAGTATGCACACTCTGATTTCTAATTGTAGAAAATAAAATTAATAGTTTTATACTTTGAGATAAGAGAAATTTATGAACCATCATAAAAGTGTTTAGCCTGATTAAATAATGTTATGTCACCTTTGTAACTTAAATGCAGGAAATCTGAAGTAAAATTATAAAATGTTGCAAGCACACCACAGACCTGCATCAGTGGAGAGATGAATAATGTTAACAGATCCAAGATGATGACCTTCCATCAGAAGTGAAAAAAGTTAAATATGTAATATACTTTGGGCAAATGCAGAAAACTAGGAAAACTGGGAGAAAATAACCTGAGGGAAAGACAGTTATGGGGTGGAAGTTTGGAGTGATTTAGGCAAAATGTTTTGGTCATTGGATGAGAAGTAGGATGGATGTGGAACAGATGTAAATGGTAATGATTCACTTATTGCCAACAGCTGGAGTATTGCCAAGGAGTATGGTTCTGACTTGAAATTGCTTAAGTTAATGTTGAGTCTTGAATACTGTGAAGTGCCTAATCGAATGATTAAGCCTCCATTCAGCCGCATCTAAACTCTGTAGGATGCCGAAAAAATACGGTTAAAGTGGCTCAGAATTAAAATATGTGACGAGAAGCCTGGAATCACACTTGCAAACTGAGCAGAGGTATTCTGGAGTGCAATCACCCATTCTGTTTATTCTCCCCAGTGAAGCAGAGATTATTATGTGGGGGATGCCTCGCCAGGAAGGAGTACTTGGAGCTCTGGGTGGTGGGAAAACTTCTGTACTTGCGTGCAAAGTTGACTTGGAGAGGAGAGGATGTGTCGGGGTGAATGAAGAATAGAGTAGGTGCAGAGAGAAACCAGCTCTTTGAATGCTGAAAGGGAAATTAAACATATATTGTAATGTTGGAGCATGGTCGATTGAACATGAATGCTGATGGAGTAGATTGGGTGAGCCTGGAATTGGAAGTTTGAGAAACAGCTTTTGATTTGGCATTTTTTGTTCAATGCTTTCAGGCCATAAACACACCTTCTTTTAAGAGAGCAACTATTGATAATGATGATGATTCTGTGATTGCCATTTACAGTTATTCATGAACCATTCTTGTTTCTTGTCCGGTATGACACTTCTTCAGAACTGTTCTGTAAAAGAGTCATACTGGACTTGAAACATTAACTTTGTTTCTCTTATTTTACTTCAAAATACGCAGAGCATTTCAATTTTGAGATGGTGAGAGATTGATATTTTAATAGAATTTGTGGTCAATTGAATGATACTGTATACTTTTACTTTCTGTCTTGTTTCTACACTCAATCTATGCTATGCCATCTTTTATTGTCTAGCTTTTTTTTTCATAAGATTCTGCCTGCACTAGACATCTTTCCTTGGTCTTCAGTGATCCTTTCAGTTGAAAGAAAGCAGCTCTTTTTAACTTTAGTTGCTCTTTTTCTCTTAGCCAAATTTCCACTTGCTGTTGCATGTCAATTTTATTATTTTTGAGGAAGGGATTGTTCATTGACAATTCTTGCAATTTAATTTGATTTAATGTCAAAATGCATCTTCTACCATAGAAATGAGAGATTATACTTTAAAAAAATCAGTGTCAGCAATGGAATTGTTTTGACTTGGTTGATGAATGCTGATCATTTCCTTACTGCAGGAGGGCTTCTGGGAGCTACAATTGTGGACTCTTTGGACACACTCTACATTATGGGTCTTCAGGAAGAGTTTACAGAAGCCAGAGAATGGGTGGAAAACAACTTGGACTTTAATGTGGTGAGTTTGCTAAATTGGAAGCAGATCTCTCAGAAGAAACTCTAGTTTTCTCTCTGAATTTTAGTACAATGCAGCAGAAGTGCCAATGGATTGCACAATAATTTATCTGTAAATGGAGGAACGACTAGGGCAGTTGGCATGCAGATGACTATTTATCACTGAGTTCTACAACTCTCTCATTTAAAACGTATTTCACTTTTCTATTATTTTTGCCATCTAGACAAGTTCACATTTTCCCACATTATGTACCCATTGTCAAGTATTTTGCTGTGTTCCTTAACTCACCTATATCCCTTTGCAGGTGCCTCCTTTTGGCAATGTGCTTTCCCATTTATGTTGGTGTCTTTGGCAAATTTAGCTGCCCTATATTTGTTTCTTCATTGAAGTTATTGATGTAGACTGTAAATAGTTGAGGCCCCAGCACTGATCTCTCTGGCCCTCCAATAGATACAACTTGCCAACCTGAAAAAATGAACTCTCTGCTACCTGTTAGCTAACCAGCTCTTTATCTAAGCTAATTATGTTCTCTTATCTTGTGTAATGATCTTTGATGTGGCATTGTTTCAAACATCTTTTGGAAATCAAGTACATAATACCTACAGGTTCCCCTGTATCTACCTTGTTTGTTATGTCCTCAGAAAATTAATAAATCAGTTCAACACAATTTTTCTTTCTCAAAGCCATGTTGACTCAACTAGTTCACATTATAATTTTCTGTGTATCCTGCTTTTACCTCCTTACTCGTGTATTTTATCAATTTCCCTGTGACAGATGGTAGCTGGCCTATTTTTGCTTTGTTTCTCTATCCTTTCTTGAATGCAGATGTTAATTTCGTTCTTTTCCCCCCCCAGTACACGTGACCCTTCCAGAATCAGACAAGTTTTGGAAAATGGTAACTAATACATCTGCCATCTCTCTAAATTGATCTGAACACTTGGGAATCATCGGTGAATGCTCCATTCTTTTACCTTTTATAATTAAAGAAATTTAATTGATATGGTAATTGATGCTATCTTAAAGAAATTCTGCAGTAATGGCCTGGGCTGGATAATTGGCTTCTGATATGGCTACACTGTTGATTTTGTGGTCAGATACAACTCAAGCCACTGGACAGAGTTCCCTTTAATTCCCATTGATTTTTAGATTTGCTAAGGTCCCTTAGTGTCAATTTTGGTCAGATACTGTCCTGATATTGAGGACAGCTACTGTTCAGTTTCCTTTGACATTTAGGTTGTTGTGTTCCTGTTTGAATCAAAGGTGTGATGTTCTTGCAGAACATGATCAGGTGAATCGATGGGCCGAGGAGTGACAGATGGAGCTTAAATTAGATAAATGTCGGGTGTTGCATTTTGGTAAGGCAAATCAGGGCAGGACTTATACACTTAATGGTAGGGTCCTGGGGTGCGTTGTCAAACAAAGAGACCTTGGGGTGCAGGTTCATAGTTCCTTGAAGGTGGAATCACAGGTAGACAGGGTAGTGAAGAAAGCATTTGGTATGCTTGCCTTTATTGGTCAGTGCATTGAGTATAGGAGTTAGGATGTCATGTTGCAGCTGTACAAGACATTTGTTTAGGCCACTTTTGGAATAATGCTTTCAATTCTGGTCTCCGTGGTATAGGAAAAATCTTGTGAAACTTGAAAGGGTTTAGAAAAGATTTACAAGGATTTTGCGAGGATTGGAGGGTTTGAGCTATAGGGAGAGGCTGAGTAAGTTGGGGCTATTTTCCCTGGAAATTCGGAGGCTATGGGGTGACCTTATAGAGGTATATAAAATCATGAGTGGCATAGATAGGGTGAATAGCCAAGGTCTTTTTCTCAGGGCAGGGGAGTACAATACTAGAGGGCACAGTTATAAAGTGGGAAGGCAAAAATTTAAAAGGGATCTAAGGGACAACATTTTCACACAGAAGGTAGTGTGTGTATGGGATGAGCGGCCAGAAGAAGTGATGGAGGCTGGTATAATTACAACATTTTAAAATGCATCTGGTTGAGTATATGAATAGGAAGGGTTTAGAGGGATATGGGCCAAGTGCTGGCAAATGGGACTGGATTAATTTAATATCTGTTCGGCATGGACGAGTTGGACCAAAGGGTCTGTTTCTATGCTGTACAACTCTGTGACTGTATAACATGATATTCTGGCAGTCGCTTGTAGATGCACTGGTAGTAATCTTCCAAGAATCATTAGTTTCTGGAAAAGTTCCAGAAGGTTGAAATATCGCCAATGTTGACACCCTTATTCTAAAAAAGGGGAGGGAAACAAGAAACAAGAAACAAGAAACAAATTGGCCATTAAGCTTAACATCTGTCATTGGAAAAACATTAGAGTCTATTATAAAGGATGTAACAGTAGGGCATTTAGGACAAAACTGAGCTTCCTAGAATACTTTTAAAGAAATCTTCCTGTGGAGTCCAGAAAAGCAGGTGTGAAGTCATTGCAATCACCCTCAAACGTTTCCTTTATTCATGGGTCTTAGCTACACGCCACTCCTGGAAAACTGGGTCACCCAAATATTCATCTGTTTTAATGTGTGTGAACTGCCTCTGGAGGCACAGTGATCGCAAGCAGTTCACCCAGAAAAGTCAATATTAGAAGGGCTATGAGATGCTTTCTGCAAATTACCACACCCTCTCCCATGTGAGATGATGTCACAAAGCTGTGAACGTTCATCCGTGGACTGATTTTCATTGCCAGATTCTTCAAGGGTGTAAGAATTCTTGAACACAGGCAATTTAGAATTTGCAGTTGCATGTGTCCATTCAACAGTGAGAAATTCCAACATGGTAATTTCTACTACAAGGCAGTTTTTTAAATTAAGCAATTAATAAAAAATTAACATTAATGTATGATTATATCACTTTATTCCAAATACCCTAGTTCGATATCTCTGTGTGTAATGTTGGAGCAGGACTAGAAGAACATTTCATTGAATCTACTGTTGTTCTTCACATCCTGTTCTTTCACAGTCCTATCACTGATTATTATACATGGAAAGTAAATAAAAAGTTAAATTAATTTTCAGTAACCAGGTCCAATTTGTTTTGGTTTGTGGGCTGCAGTTTGGAAACACGCTATCAGATTTTTTTTATCAATTAACTCAAATGATCAATTCCAAGTTAAAAGATGTAGGAATACATATACTGTCTTTAGTATTTGTGTCTTTATTTATCTACAGAAGAAAATGCTAAAAATGCAAATAAACAAGGTAAGGTTACTATGTGACTGCATCAACTAATAAAGGAGTTAGTGACAATAATTAAGGAGCTCCTGAATGCCATAAAGTAGCTCCCATAGCCGCTATTGCAGATGTTTTTGTAGCCCCCACCTGTTACTAAATTATCCCCTGTCCTTCAGTCAAGAACTGATCTAGTTCTTGCTACGTATGTTTTATAAATATGCTGCTTCTCTGGCATGCATCTAATCCTGACTTGTAGCTTTACCAGCATAAGACTTTGTTGGAGGTGTGTCTGCCACTGCTATTCTTATGCCTCATACTGAACCAGGGTTGGCCAACTGGTTTGATACAAATAGGGTGAATGAAGCATGCATTTTATTTATATTTTATACATTTACTTTTACTTATATAAGGCATATGCATCTAAGAAGGTTCCATATGAAAGATTAGCATGTAAAATTAGAGTGCTTAGCGTTGGGAGTAGAATGCTAACGTGGATAGAGAACTGTCTGGCAGACACCAAACCCAGACCAAGAGTAGGACAAATTATTGCAGATGCTGGAATCCGTACTGAAAACAAAAAGTGCTGGAGATCACAGTGGGTCAGGCAGCATTCATGGAGAGAGAACAAGCTAATGTCTTGAGTCTATATGACTTTTCATCTGACCTCTGATGAAGGATCGTCTAGACTTGAAACATTAGCTTGCTGTCTCTCCAAAGACCAAGAATAAATGGGTAATTTTCTGAGTGGTACCGCAGGGATTGGTGCTTGGACCCAGCTATTCACAGTATTAATGATTTTACATGAGGAACTAAATGTACTTTCTCCAAGTTTGCAGATGACATAAAACTGGGAGGGTAAATTGTAAGGAGGATGCAGAGATGCCTCAGTATAATTTGAATATAGTAAGTGGGGAAAATGCATGACAGATTAAGTGTAATGTGCATAAATACCAGGTTATCTACTTTGGTGGAAAAAATCAGGAAGCAGGATTATTATGTGAATGGCAATAGATTGCATCCCCCCCTTTCCCAATGTGACCTGGGTGTCCTTGTACATTAGTCACTGAAAATAAGCGCATAGGTCAAAAAAGCAAATTGTATGTTGACCTTTGCAGTGAGAAGATTCAAATATAGGACCAGGATATCATGCTGCAAATGTACAGGGCTTTGATGCAGTTTGGTGTCCAGATCTGAGTATTCCTAGCAAGGCTGACGTATGAAGAGAGACTGGATAAGTTAGGACTATATTTACTGGAGTTTAGAAGAATGGGGAGGTGTTGATGGCTGGATCTCATAGAAAGCTATAAAATTCTTAACAGCCCTAGACAAGGTAAATACAGGAGGAATGTTCATCGTGACTGGAATTCCATCACCAGATGTCACAGTCTAAGGGTATGAGGTAGGCTATTCAGGACTGAGATGAAGAGAAATTTCTTCACCAGAGTGATGAGCCTGTGGAAAGCAGTTGAGGCCAAAACAGGGGAAAAATGAGAACCAGGTAATGAGTTGGATGATCATCCATTACCATATTAAATGGTGAAACAGGCTTGGAGGGCTGAATAGCTTACTCCTCTTATTTTCTATATATTCCCAGAGAATGTTGCACTTGGTGATTTTTGCAAATTGTGAACATGGCAGATGTGACATATGCATGACTCCAGGAAGAAAGTTCTTTTTCTTTAAAATCGAGCAGAAGATAAAATTGATTTTCAGTCAGTGAAAAGTTGTACGGTGAGTTTTTGCAAAGGATGGACATGTGGATGGTGTGATTTACTGTATGTTGTGTTGTTTCATATAAAATATAACCTTTGTGAGTTGGGCACAATCTTCTTGTTCTATAGAAAGCAAAGTAAAAGGCAGGAACGGTACTTAATCAGACAGGAAGGAGGTGTAGCTGGTCTTCAACGCTTTTCAGCTTTTGTCCAAAATAAATTCTGGATGATTAGATCTAAAACCAACCTTTCTACCTCGCCAGTGATTGAGATCCCTATGTGCCCAATTAATGACCGCTTAAGGGCTTCAGCCTGCTGCTGTTGGCATTAATCCAGCTGCAAGTGTGCTTGGCCACCAGCCTCCTTCAGGAGGGAAAAAGAGTGAAGGTGGCTTGTCAGCTTGGGCACGTTTGGGGAGGTTTGCTCAAAGGCACTCCGTTCCTGATCAAGGATATGCACATAGAGCAGACGTTGGCCGTTGAAAACCAAATTAAACTCCCTTTCATGCTTCCAGTCTAACTGCGTGTTCCTTCCAACAATCCTCCACCCCCAATATAGACACACGTGCACAAATCACCTAACTTTGGCCTGCGATAACAAGGTGTAGAGCTGGATGAACACAGCAGGCCAAGCAGCATCAGAGGAGCAGGAAAGCTGACGTTTCTGGCCTAGACCCTTCTTCAGAAATGGGGGAGGGGAAGGGGTTTCTGAAATAAATAGGGAGAGAGGGGGAGGCGGATAGAAGATGGATAGAGGAGAGGATAAGTGGAGACAGACAGGTCAAAGAGGTGGGGATGGAGTCAGTAAAGGGGAGTGTAGGTGGGAAGATTGGGGGGGATAGGTCAGTCCAGGGAGGACGGGACAGGTCAAGGGGGCGGGATGAGACTAGTAGGTAGGAGATGGGGGTGGGGCTTGAGGTGAGAGGTGGGGATAGGTGGGAGGAAGGACAGGTTAGGGAGGCGGGGACAAGTTGGGCTGGTTTTGGGATGTGGTTGGGGGAGGGGAGATTTTGAAGCTTATGAAGTCCACATTGATACCATTGGGCTCCAGGGTTCCCAAGCGGAATATGAGGTGCTGTGCCTGCAACCTTCGGGTGGCATCGTTGTGGCACTGCAGGAGGCTCAGGATGGACATGTCGTCCAACGAGTGGGAGGGGGAGTTGAAATGGTTCGTGACTGGGAGGTGCAGTTGTTTAGCGTGAACTGAGCATAGGTGTTCCGCAAAGCATCCCCGAGCTTCCGCTTGGTTTCCCCGATGTAGAGGAGGCCACAACGGGAACAGCGGATACAGTATATCACATTAGCAGCAATTCTGGTTTCTGGCGTTGTGTTTCTGGCAGTCTTCAACGTGTGGTGTTGCTGAGCACAGGTTGCTCCTGTTGAGAAGGGCCTTAGCTCCCAGAAGCCTGATTTTCTTAAGTGCCTGATGGGCAGAAGACATGGCACATCGTCCTTTTTAGAGCCTGTGCAAGTATCTTGACACTTTTCCAGACATTGTATGCAATACCTAAAAGATTTCACCCAGTTATTGAATCTAGAGGATCAGAAGAAGCAGTTTGAGACATTTTGCAGGATGTATTTACTATAGATATTTTCCGATCAGAGGCATTATTTACAGCCTCAAGAGTGGGTAGGACTTGAATCTGGGACTCCTGGCTCATGTATTTATTGTACACTACAAACTTTGTGTATTTTCACCTTTCAGAATGGAGAAGTGTCTGTCTTTGAGGTAACCATACGTTTTGTCGGTGGGCTGTTGTCAGCATATTACTTAACAGATGATGAGGTAAGACACATCATATTTCTTGATTCTGGTATGTGCAGCATCTTGGGAAAGAAGTTTGTTAAATAGCTTAATGTAAATTGTGCAAGGAAAGATGTGCAATTATGAAATTAGCGCAGGTTTGATGGCTTAATTTGCTAATGCAAGCAAACAGCCCTGCAACTAGACTCTGGGATTAGTTAATGAGATCTGCCATTGCCATCTGCTTACAAATATACAGATGTTACTGAGTGAAATAAGACAATCCTGCCCAAACAGTTCATGTTGTGACTTATTCTCAAATAATTCTAATCATATGTAATATCCTTCCATATCCTATTGTCCTTTTGTAAAATCTTCCTGTCTATCTAATCCAGAGTTGATTCTACCTCAGCCACCAGCTATAGAAATAAATTGCATAGCCTCAACTCTGTGGAGAAGCTCCTCTTGCACTCTATTAAGTTTCTTTCATTTAATCTTCTGTCTATTGCCCCTTAAACTAGTACCAGATGGGTCTAGATATCTTGGACCTGACCATTATGTGGCAGCATTAGGCATATTTTTGTCACCAAATGAAGAATCAGAGGTTGTACCTTTACCCACAGTATCAGTGATGTATTTGGATGTTAGCTTCATCTCGCCTTCATTTTCCATGGGCAAAATTATGAAAGAACAAATAGCATAAGTTAAAGATATTTTTCTGTCTAGAAATGAGAAAAAGTATCAATTGTTTATGGATTGCTATTGTATAACAGTGAGTTTGAATGGGTCAGTTGGTGCAACTGTTAGATTAGTGCACTTCAAATCTGCAAAAAGATGTCTTATTATTTTCAAGAATTTAAAAAAAAGGTAGGGATCATAGTATTGCTTATTGTGTTCTCAATGTTGCAGTTATTCAAGGTGAAAGCAATTGAATTGGGAGAGAAGCTATTACCAGCATTTAACACCCCAACAGGCATCCCCTGGGCCTTGATAAACCTCCGTAGGTAAGGTATTCTAATTAATTTTAATTTATTAAAGATGAATTGTATTAATTAGAATAATAAGTAACACCATTGCATCAGCCTATAAAGATGACTTATTTACATTTTGAAACAACTGATAAAAATAGAACTTTGTGTGGATGGTTAGTGATTTTGAATCACTTGCTACTGTTGCAAGCAAAAGAAATGAGAGGGTATATTGCATTACATTCCAACTCTCCATTCCAAATATACAGGTGTTGCTGGGATTTCTTTTCATTCTCTGTAGCAAAGACAGAAATAAAATATTTCTTGATTACATCTGCCATTTCCTTAATACCTACCATTTAACTCATTATTTTCACTCTGTGGAGGACTAACCCTCGTTTTATTTCTTCTTGACCTTTTTTTAAGATATCTATGTAGAAGCTCTTGCTATCTTTTTTTTTCCCCACACTAGCTTCCTCTTATACAATGGTGTGTTTGTCCTGAGTAATATTTTGGTCATGCTCTGAGGTCCTTTATATTCTGACCAGTAATCTGAGCTGCCACTCATCTTTGAGCAATCATATGCTTTTCCTTAAATTTGCTGGGTTTTTTTTTTTAAAACTTATTTTTTTAACCATGGAAAACTCACCTCTTGCGTCCCCAGTGCCAGTCCATTGACAAAGCACAGTTTAGGAGTTTGATTGAATATTCTGGGCTAGTCTAGGTGGGGGCTCCTCCAGCAACACTCGAAGTTTGACACCATTTAGGTCAAAGCAGTCCATTTGATTGATATCCCATCCACCATCTTCAATATTCATTTTTTCCACTACCAATACACAGATGTGTACCATCTATAAGATGCACTTCACCAAGCTGTCTTGACAGCGCCTTCCAAACCCACAAACTCTACTACTTGGAAGGACAAGAGCAGCAGATGCACAGGAACATCACTACCTGCAAGTCATGTTCCATGTTACACACTATCCTGACTTGGAATTATGTTGCCATTCTTCCAATTTTGCTGAACCAAATTCTTGAACTTTATTCCCAATAGCACTGTGGGTATCATTATATCAGAAGAACTACAGCAGTTTCACCTTAAGTGTAAATAGGTATCGGCAATAAATCCTGGCCCACATCTCCTGGACGATTAAATACAAAAGTAGTTAGAATGCAGTAAGAAGAAAGCTCTAGTAACCAGATACAACTATGCCAACAGAACAAGGAACTTTAAAGTAGACACACCGTGACCTTTCTGAGGCTTGAGAATCTGTAGGGTTGTTAAGGGTTAAATGAGTGAATATTTATTTCTGATATTTGTCATAAAACTGTTTGCAATATTTCTTTAATTTAGTAAAATAGATCTTTCCTTTTGTGTGTAACAAGCTTTGATCATTATCATGTTAAAAATTCACTGGCAGCCGATTGCAAATTTGATCAGTGACTGAGTACCAGAGCATCATAGAATCCTTACAGTGTGAAAACAGGCCCTTTGGTTCAACAAATCCACACTGACCCTCAGAGCATCCTACCCAGACCCATTCCCCGATATCCCATTTTCTAATTCTTGTTACAGTTGCTGTCTATGCAAGTGCTGATGGTGGTGTTTGTGATCCTGCTAGCAAAGTAGAAAGATCAATGGCCCCACTGAAAATATATTTACTTGTTTTTAAGTGACTTATATTCTGTTCAATAATCTTAATGTTGTGGTGTAGTAGATTTGTTCAGGTGGATGCCCATTGCTAATGTTTTGCATTGGAATATTTTGGATTGTAAGTTTGTCCTGAATGGCAACATTGAAACTTTCCTATGTATGTTTTGCAGTGGAGTTGGCCGGAACTGGGGCTGGGCCTCAGGAGGAAGTAGTATTCTGGCAGAGTTTGGCACCTTACACCTCGAGTTCGTGCACCTGAGTGAGGTGTCAGGCAATCCAAAGTTTGCTGAAAAGGTAAATTATGCCAAACTGGTAATCATAGGTCTTCAAAATTGACAGATTTTATAACTGAGTTTCAGTGATTCAGTTTCTGATTCTACAGTATTTACTAAACATGTTTTCAACACTGATACCCTGAAGATAGAGACTTGAGTTTTCCACCTCTACATTCACCAACTCGGAAGTTTACTGCCTATTTATTTTAATAGCTAGGAAATCTCAGACTCTGGAGAAGGTAAGTTTAAATGCCCCCAGCTGGTATTTCTGAATGAACTTTTATTTTGATTGAAAGTTGTGATGATGTTCTTCTCCATGTAGTTTTACTTTGAAGCAGCTACTGTTCCTTACCAAAAAATGCCCCAAGTGCAACTTTTATGCAAAGCAAGATTTTGAAGGACACTATAGGTCACAACAATATGTGATGTACTGCAGAGGTACTCCAGGTATTTCTAAGCAATTGCCCTATTAATGACAATTCTATTAAAGGCTTGTGGATTTAAGATAGCAACCTGCCTCTTTTCAAACCATCCTTGGGAGCAGGGATTCAGCTTTAAGACTCCTAGCCATTTCCTGACTGACTTAATCAGTGAAAAATCTGATGGTGTTGGCTGTGATGGTTGGAAACATCATGATAATTTCCAGCATAACATGTGTACGTGTAGGATCTTCTGCATGTTGTCACACAACCTGCATGTTCAGTGAGTGAAATATTGGCAGTTGATCTCAAACCTTAAGAATATCAGAAATGTCATTAAGGTGTCCAATGTCACTGCTGCTATGGTATAATACAGTACAAACTAAATAGCATGGTTTAGAAAAGGTGTAAGGACAGAGATCTTGAGTGAATATTATCAAATTTTTGGCTGTTTAAAAAGGCTTTACAAATCGAGGTATAGATTACAAAAGCAAGGAAATTATGCTTCTTCTCCAGGTAGTATCTTCAATTATTTGAGGGTTGCCGAACCATGATTTATGCCATGATTTTACTTGGGCACAGCAAGGAGACAGGCTCCAAAAGCAATGAAGTCATGCTTCTCCAGGTAACATCCACAATTATTTGAGGGCTGTCGAACTGTGGTTTATGTCTTGATTTTACTGTGGGAGCATAAAGAGACATTAGGTTCCAAAACTACCTCATCCTGAACTGGATTAGACACTATCATTGAAATAATTCTCAATTTGTATTAATTATCTATTGAATTAATTGGCGTCCTGAAATTATGTTAAACTTACTGAATTTATACCCTGCTGGAATATATTGATTCTAGGCAGTGCATTTTACTGAAAAAAAAAAAGTCCATTTCTGTCATGTGGTAGACGACTTTAGGATGTCTCAAAGCACTTCACAGCCAGTCGAGTATTTTGAAGCAAGCAAAAAGAGATTGCTGGAGAAACTCCAGCCTGGCAGCATCTGTGAAGAGAAAACAGAGTTTTAGTATTTCAAGTTCTGAAGAAGGGTCACAGGACTCAAAACGTTTACTCTGTTTTCTGTCCACAGATGCAGCCAGACCTGCTGAGCAATTTGTTTTTGTTTCAGATTTCCAGCATCCAACAGTCTTTGTTTTATTTTGGGTACTTTTGAAGTGTAGTGACTGTTGTAATGTAATAGGCCTTGAACTTGCAATCTTCTGACTCAACTGGGCCACAATTGATCTAACAAAATGCTTCCCAAAATGCAACGAGTATGTTACCAGGGACGAGATGTTGAGTTATGTGGAGAGACTAAATGAGCTAGAATTATTCTTCTTGGGACACAGAAGTTTCCAGGCAGATTCGATTCAAATCATGAAGAATTTTGCTGGAGTAAATAAGGAGAAATTGTTTCCAGAAATGTCAATAACAATGACAGAACATGGGATGAAAGTAATTAGTAAAAGAGCTAGAGGCAACACAAGGAGGAAACATGCAGTAAGGTGTGATCCAGAATGCACTGCCTGGAAGTGATAATAACAGATTCAATAATAACATTCAAAGAGGAATTGAGTAATTTGTATGGTTATGAGGAAAAACGAAGGGTGGGAATTAACTTTTTCACAGGGCTGACATTGGAATGAATGGAGTGCTCCCCTTCTGTGCTGTGACATTCTATTGTTGTATGCCAAATTGTATCAATTCCCTATTTCTCCTGTAATGGAGACCTGTCCAACATTGACTGATGACAGAAATTGATTTGTTGCTGCTTAAATGATCTTGTGTCATAAGAATTAAGTGCAGTCAACACTAAAATCACCAATGACAAAATAGTACGGACATGACGTGATTGTGGCTCCTCATAGTAATAGCCACTTTAAAGTACAATCTTTATAACAGTATCTCTTTGGTAGGGCTCTTTGTATAATCACATTTATACATTCTGTGAGGAAGTAAAATATCTAGCAAGGTCCATTATCCATTAAGTGCTACCTGACACGGTTTTGCTCTATCCTGTACAGCTCTTATTCGTTTTCCATGATAATGGCATATAGAGGTAATACCAAATTTAATACCATTCCTGATTGTGAGAAGCTCTGACTGAGTGAGTATGAAGGGTGAGAATTTCCCAGCGGTCTCACATTCTCAGAAACACTGAGAAGCAAATCCAGGTGTGTGTAGGCAGTATGCCAAAATAATCACTGCAAAAATTGCTGTTGCAGCTCTGCGCCCTTCAGATTCCTCATTAATCTCTGCTTCCAGAATCATCTGGAGACAATGTTATAATTTTCAGTCTAACTCGACTTTAGCACTTTGCAAGGATAAACCAAGAAACAGGTGTCGCTGGCTGTCATGATAATTGGAGCATTATAATTTGTAAGTCACTCGCAACTTGTTAGACAGCTTGCAGGGAAGGGAAACAAGTACAAAAATTTTTGTTAGATTGATTTTGGGTGAAAAACTAGTGAAAACAGTTTCTGTCCCATTGAGCTGCCAGAATAGGTTGTAGCATGGAACTTCATTCTCACTGTTTAAACATAGAAAGTTACTTCGTGTATTTTAAACAGCTGGAGTTCCATGCTATATCAGTGAGCAAGTAAAAAGGAATTTCATGTATATGTCACCTTATCCTTTGCAGTGATTTGAGCTGCTGGTAAGTGCGCAAATGTTGAAGCTGTTTGTGGACAACAAGACGTCACATACAGCAAGGAATTGAATAATCTATTTTTCCAATGTGTTGAATGAGCGAAAAATATGGATCACGATATCATAGACCTGCGTTTTGTTTTTTATGAATAATTACCACGGATCTTTGTTGCTCATTATGTTGGTAAATGTGGATTTAAGTAAAATTGGGAAGTTTGTGCAGAATTTGAGATGTTGCATTGAAGATCTGCCAGGACTAATTCTTATTATAAGCCTAGTAAAATAATCATTAAATTAATTTATAACATTAAATCAGATATCAAGGAAAAGGTACATTGAGTCCTGCATACAGTTTGGTTCCTTTGAGGAAGGATGTTAATGCATTGTAAGCTGTTCAGAGAAGGTTCACTGATTTAATTCCAAAGATGAAAGGGTCACTTTGAGGAGAGATTGAGCAGTATAGGCCTAGACTCACGAGAATTTAGAAAGATGAGAGCAGATCTAGTTCAGATAGGAGATCCTAAAGGGGATTGACAAAATAAACAGAGAGCAAATGTTTCTCTTTGTGGGGCAATCTAGAATGAGGTGTCATACCTTTTAGGTGAAAGGGTGGCAGATTGTAAAACACAGATGAGTAATTTTTTTGAAAGGGTCATGAATTTGTGGAATTCACTGCTCCAAAGAGCAGTACACACTAGAACACTGCATAAATTTGAGGAGATAGACAGATTTTAATTAGTCATGCGTTAAAGGGTTAAGCAGAGTGAGCAGGAAAATGGAGTTGAGTTGAGATGAGACCAGCCATGACTATTTTAAATGGTGGGACAGGCTGGAAGGGCTGGATTGCCTATTTGTACTCCTAATTTTTATGTATATAAATTAGAGTCAGTGGAGTCTCAGTAAAGAAGTGATGGCAGCATGGTGGCGCAGTGATTAATACTGCTGTCTCACTGTGCCAGGGACCCAGTTTAATTCCAGCCTTGGGTGACTGTTGTGTGGAGTTTGCACATTCTCCCTGTGTCTGTGTGGGTTTCTGCTGGCTGCTGCAGGTTCCTCCCACAGTCCAAAGATGTGAAGGTTAGGTAAATTGGCTATAGTAAGTGCAGGGTTATGGGATAGCGTGGACAGCTGGGTCGAGGTTGGATGCTCTTTAAGGGTTGATGCAAACTTGATGGGCTGAATGGCCTCTTTTTCCGCACTGTATGGATTCTGATTCAATGAAATATGGTGACCAGTTTATGCTCAACAAAATTCCAGAAACAGCAGTGAGATAAATTGAGATATTTTGTTGTTGTCAGTCTCTGAAGTATGAGATGTGGATGTAAGGAAACAGAGATCCCGTTTTCTGTTTTGAAAAGGATTCGGGAATGTTTTGCCTGAGAGGACAAACGTGATGCATATTTAATTTCTAATGCAAAAGACCGCGAGCTTATGTTAGGTAGTTTAGCGCACATTTTTAGGTGTTCTACGGCTGACTAAAACATAAAAGTGCGGTCTGAGGCACATATGTACATTTTCAATGGAAAGCTCACAGCAGTGCAGCAAAAAAAAAATGCAAATCAGTTTGCGGCACTGATTTGAACCCAGTGTTACCATTTTGAAATGCCACATTGCAGGCATTGACCTGTCTTAACCTCAGGCAGCTAAATGTCTTAAAAACACTCCCCTGGAAATGTAAACAATACTTCTTATTTACAGTGCTCTACTTGAAGGAATGACACTCCCCGTGTTTCTCATTGTACATGCAAGCACAAAGATGCGCAGGTTAGATGGATTGGCTGTGCTAAATTGCTCATAATGTCTAGGATGGGAAATGCAAGGATAGGGTAAGGGGTGGGTCTGGGTGGGACGCTCTTCAGAGGCAGTGTGGACCTGATGGGCTGAATAGCATGCTTCACTTTAGGGATTCTATGATATAGCTTTATTAGTCTATTCCCTTTTGTCAGAGACAAGCAAGA